CCCCAAAACCCCAAAACCCCAAAACCCCGTGTCTCTGGGTAAATATTGGGGATAAAATTAGTTTATAATAATTAATGGAGAGCCAAAATAGACTGGGAGAGAAAGATAATTCAGAATACTTGAAGTGAGTTTAATCCAGGGTTTGTGAAAATTAAGCTGGTTGAGTTTACAATGCTTTCTTCACTATTATTACTGACTATTTCGCTAGAATTCTCTGGAAAGGAATCAATAGTCTTTGAGCTTAGCTTAAATTTAATCTTTTTAAATGTGTGATAACTTATATTAAGGATTTTGTTTCTTCTTCAAGCTCCAAATTATACTAATCAAACCCAGCTATCATGATTTAGGATATTTTCACTTTTAGCAGGCTAGGAGGCCATATATCTGTTTTCCAATCTTCCTGCTTATTCCTTAATGCATTTTGGATATGCCTTTTAATCATAGAAAAAGTAGGACACCTTAGTACATTTTGGACATCAATTATATCCTCTATTGAGTAGCTCTTCAAGGAACCCTATTGTTCGGGCTGTATAATCCCAAGTCTGGACAAAATGAGCACTGATCAATGAGGGAGTGGAAGATATACATCTCCTTTCTGAAACCTACTCATATATCTAATTTAGAGAAGAGAAAATAACCTTGGAAGAAGAAAATAGAGTCAACAAAAGAGTTGGATCCAGCTATTCTTTTAATAATTTAGCAGCTAAATTGGAGCATCGAGTAGTTGGTGATGCAAATCCAGAAGACATCCTTCTTAACTACAAGATCGTTGATTTTAGAAGACAACAGACATTAGCTTTTGCTAAGAAGCCTAACTTTTTGGGATCATTTGGCTTTCAAAAATTTTGTTTTCATTCCATGAACACAAAATAAGACTATTGTAAATTGTATCAATTCCTCATTTCCTAAGAAAATGAAAGCTTTACAGATTTACTCTCACAGAACTTTAACCTCGAATATCTCTCCTGTTTTCAATGCAATGATGAGGATAAGCCACAGAGTATCAGAGGAACTTTGGATTCTTTATTCCAGAATCAGTGCTCATCAGTTTAAGAGAGTCATGGCTTCATATAAGCATGTTAACAGAATAAGATTCCATGATTGCAAAATCTCAATACCTGCAGTCTTTGACCTTTCCCAATCATTGAGAGATACGAAGATCAATGAGCTTGAATTTTTAAGATGAGAAGACCCTGAATCTTCTGACTCGACGAGCGACTCTCAAAGCATTATCAATCTAATTCAAGGGCTAGCCACTTCTCCAGATTTTAAGCACAGTATCAAAAGAATAGTTGCTTTGGATTGCGGAATTGAAGACACAAAATACACAGAAATTCTTGACGAAAATGGGTTTAATCATGTTGAGTCGCACTAAAAATGTGACATACTTCCTTATATCCCTCCTTTTGCTCTTTAAATACCCAAATCATTCATTATCCATCCTGTCTGTCCATTCCTCACCCTTGGGAGTGCCTAACCCCCCAAAACCCCACTTTCTCTTTCTAAAATCCCACTTTGACCTGTTCATTATTCACCTAAAAATTCTATTTCAGTCTCTGAACCAACTATTGGGGTTTTGGGGTTTTGGGGTTTTGGGG